ATCAGCATTTCTCAATACTTTCATTTAATTTTCATTGGGGTGTGGGAGCTCTGATGAGAAGTTGCTCCTGCATAGTTTTACTTGGCCACACTTTGGTCCCGATCCACTCTGTAGGAATCGTCATTGTCCACTCCCGATGAGGTCTTTCCGAACCAAAAAGTTGCTCGCCGACGAAAACCTTTCAGTTGTTGACATTGAACTATCGACACTATAAAGTAACAGAAATTGGTAATAATCAAAAGCGTCATATTATCATTTCAAAATTGAGCTGATATCTCTTCGATCTACAACAAATGAGATCTAGTTGTCATATTCTTCTACAAGGCTACAAGGTTACATTTCTGTTATTGCATTCATAGCAGACTTTTGCTTTGTTTCCGGTAAAGTTATTGAATTCGGCAAGTGGGAGTTGTTGTTCATGGAAAAGAAAGATTGCGTGTTCAACGTGTGTTCTTTTTGAAGATCACACTGAATGTGCTTTTGATGATCGAAAAAGCTTCTTCTTTGCTGAGAAATATGTTAGAAAGCAATTGTTTCAAAAAGTTTCAGCATCTCAAGCACAATAACTACACCAATTTTGCAAATTCACTAAGAACTGTAGCGAGTAAAACTTAATGGATAAAGATGTCATAATATTATAATTGCTGCTAACAAGCAATAATAATTTTATTACTGTTAATAATAAAGTAATTACGATGTAAACCGGTGAAAGGATACTAAAAGATTGCTTATAAACACAACAAACTTCCAACAACATTGTACATAAGAGGAACGAGAATATGAATATCATCACGAAACTGATAAAACGCAAACATTGTAATGAAACAAATCACGTGATGAATTGTAAAATGCAACGAACAAGTGATTTATTGATCATAAGCAAATGTTTGCCTAACTAAGAAATTACTTCAGAAAAGAACATCGATAGAGTGTCGCCACTGGCGGAAACGGAGAGATAAGCGATTATTGGAATGAAAATAAATGAAGTCTTTCTGAAGAGTTGATGGTGACACTTCACTGCTCCGTTGTCAGGAATTCCACTGAGCTCATCCCAGAAAATCAGTCGCCTTGTAGAGATCAAATGAACTTCTTGGAATTGGCTGTTTAAAGTTTTATTCGGCCACTTTTGCATTTCTGTTGGTCGCGCAGCATTGATAGTCTATGGTATTCAAAGTTCAGGTAATCAAAAAGTCTTCATGAAAATTTGCTACTTTACAATAGCGATGGTATCCGATCGGCGGTCGGTCAGAAAAATGCGACAGATTTCGGTCGGAATTTCCACATTAGGATTCCAACCAAACAATTTGGAAGATCGGTCGGAATTGCGAATGTCGGAACGATGAAGAGTCGATACGGTCAGATTCCGACCGAACTGAAATTTCGTTCGGATGCCATCGCCAATTGATAGTGAACTTAATCTCTTTCGAATGAGTTTACATCCTCATATGTTTACAATACATGCAGCTGCTTTCTCCTGGTAAATATTTCGATGCCTCTCTTATAAATGAATTCACCTTGTTCAATTCACTTTATGCTCTGTCCAATGGTGCAGCTTCAAAATTGCTTTTGCCTTCTGTTACCAAGGTGGAGATGGACACAGTTTACTCTTGGGAATACTTTAGCGCGGATAACCCACAAATGCATCTACGACAAAAAGCACCATGCTACTCAATGATGAGGCACGCACAAATTGTCGGAGTGGCATTTGTCGCGGAGCAAATTGTCGTAGACCCTTGGGATTAGATCAGCTGGCAATGATCGTGGCGGAGTGTTTGTCAATAAAGTTGGTGAACAGTTCGAGAATAAAAAACATCTGACTCGAAAACGGGTTGCCATAAAAAACAGGTTGCAGCCAGCTGGCAGTTCCGATGGTGAATAAGTTTTCATTCTTGATTCACCAATTCCCCACTAGTTTATTACTTTCAGTTTGTTTACCTTGATATTAGGTAGTCACTGTCGTTCAGTCAAAAAATTATACTCGTGAATTTATGTTGTGTTGCGCACAATTGCGTTATGATCTTGATTTAATTCGTCTTCTGATATTTCAGTTGTTTTCTTCGAAATAATGAAGTTTTTAATCACATCAATAGCAACTTTGCTAATTGGTGCCGTATCTATTACAATCGGCATTCTTCTATTAACGTTCTTCCCTCTAAGGATCGACAATGAGGTTGCCAAAGTGAGTTTTTCTTTTTCTTTTGATGAGTTCTAATTTATTTCTCGAAAAGCAACCTCAGTCACTATAACTTCTCTCACTCATCCACAGAAAACTCAGACAGCTTATTTCATGTTGTCGTGTGCATCTGATGGAAGGATGACTCATTATCCTGAAGGATAAGGCGTACTTTTATAATAAAATTTCAGAAACTAATTTCTTTGGGATAACGGAAAAATGTCTTCAGAAACGACCAGATAATAGATTCACCTCTAAGTNGCATTAATTAGAAACCGATAAGAAGAGTCACGATGTTTTTTATATCCCCATGTCCATTCCCATATCACATAATTTGAGGTTTTCGTTCGAATGTCATTTTTTCAGCGTATATATCTTGGCTATAATGAAAATGGAACATATAACGATATGACGTTGAAGTGGATCGATCCAGAGTATTCAATGATGCTACAGATTTGGATATTTTCCTTGGAAAACGAAGAAGATGTCATCAAAAATGGAGCCTTTCCAAATTTCACACAAAAAGGACCATACAGTTTCACGTAAGTCGTTCTGGTTGTGTCTACATCAATTCGGCGAAATAATGTTGAAGTAATTTGCCTGATGGGATGAGGATGATGGATACGCATCAGACATCTTCTATACATCCCCAAGAAATATCTACATCCTCGTATTGTTGTAGTGAAGTGCAGCATAAAGAGCATATAAATTTTCTGATGAATGCGACGCGTGTCACATATCGAAATAAACGTTTTTACACATTCGATGCGAACAGCTCTTGTGCCAGCTGTTCACTAGGAGATCAAGTCACTTTCCCGAATGTCGTCTTCCAGGTTCAGTTAGCTTTTTATTGCTT